GGCCGCTCGTCAAACCGTGTTGGCCGGGACTGCGCGCTGCTCGCCCCACAGCCTCGCGAGCTTTGGGCACGTTGGCGTTGACGTTCCAATATGCTGCTCATTTCACCTGCACAAACAAATGCATAAGCCTCAGCTCGGCTAGAATCTAGGATATATGATGAAAATATATCTTCGCTGAACAGGTTTGTCACATCGACAAACCCGAACACGGCGAGCTGCTCCGAGGTAACCAGGGCTTCTAAATCTATAAGACCCTCCCCCTGTGCATACTGAAGCAGCTGGTTCTTCAGGTCCACATCCCGGGGCAGCAGCTGGGGGTAGTTGATGTGGGCGTTCGGAGTTCGCCATTCTGACAGCCGAGCAGCGAGGTCGTTGCTTATCCTCTCTGTCCGCGTGTCGCGAACAAATACGAACTGCCTCTTCCATCTCGCCACTTTGTTCCGGACATTCTTGAACAATTGGCTCTTATCCCTCCCAGAGAGGTAGTACCACCTCGCTCCTCGTGAGTTCGGGCACAACCGGCACTGGAATAGCGACCTGAACACTATCGCTTTAGCTGGCACCTCCAATCTTGCGCACAACAGCATAAAGCCCATGATGAACCTTATGCTGTTGGGCGTTAGCTGCGTCAGCGCCAGCTCGTACTCCGCGAGCAGATCGAATACCAGGCCGGGCAGGGGAAACCGCAGGCCGGCGTCGAAGTGGTCCACGTACACTGGTATCCAGCCCGTCGGCGACACTGTGCACGCCCTTTCATTCTGCCCGCCCGTCCGCAGTAGTATGGTTTTGGGAATGTGGTACGCCCTCACCATCTCCTCGAGCTTTCTGTACCCACTTATGGAGGGCGTACAATCTGCTACTTCGTGATGAAGTGCAGCCCTGAACCTGAATCCTGCGGGCAGGTCCTTCGGTGCTTTTCGCATGTTGCTCAACCTGCCTGGGATGGTTTTGCTCTCCCATTCTCCCATCACAGGCCGATCTGAGACATGGCTCACTACATCCCCTGCCTCCTCCTCGCGACCTGGTGTCCCCTCCGACGAGCTGCTAGATGATGTACTAGGGTGGTCGCCACCGTTGTCGCTGGCGCTGGAATTGGTGCTGCTCTCAGACACCATTGTTTCCGGCATATCCTGCAACTCCGGCGACACTATCATCGTGATAGGCTCCACTGACAAAACCCCCCCCTCTTCTCCCTCTCTGCCCTGGTTACCTCGTTGCTCTGCGAGTTCTCTCAATGAAACCATTTTTACCTGAAACCGATGTGAAGTTGACTCGATGTACTGATTCTTCAAGCGGGAGTGTCCTTGCTTCAGAGAATTTGAGAGCGTTTCAGCAAACACAGAAATGAAAATGGAAAAGGGAACGGTTACGAGAGAAACAAAACCAAAATGATCGTATTAAACGCCGTACGCGTGTCTATGACGCGCCAATAGGCGTCTTACACGTGGTAGGCGTTTAACCGCCTTTTCCATAACGTGCGCTGCCCCTGGCCATTACGCTCCTCAAAAGCTGCGCCAGCATTTATGGCGAGGAAGGTAAAGAGATACGGAAGAGCAAACGTATCTCCTCAGAGATCTGGTCAGATTCGGTTGATTTAAAAATATCAAGATTCATATCGGCAAAGATCGTCACCCTTGATGTATACCCTATACTGTCACATCAGCTCGCTATTGCGAGCACACTTATCAGGTCGTCACAAAGATGACATTTTGCCAGATCGGCTCAACTGTGCCAGTTCGTTCACAAGTGTAGATTTTTTCCTAAAATCCTCCAGGATTCAGCTCGTCACATGTCATGACGACAACCACATTGGTCAGGTCGTCACATGTCGTTACACGGATTGCAACTCTCACACAAGCCACAAACTTTTGCATAAATCAGTAGGTGCCCTAAGTCGCCCTATTTGACAGCACCGCTCGGGCGGGCTGATAAAGTGGTGGTCAACAAACTCAAGTCGCGCTGAATATGAGGTCGCGTCGCTTCACCTCGTGATCACAGTTAACTGAGCGTCACCTGGTCGCATTTCGGTAACACTCAAAGGTCTGGTCGCCACATGGACGATCTGAATCCTGTTGCGGATCAATCCTGCTCACCGCCATAACAAGTTCATGTTAACGTGGCTACGAGCGTCAGCTCGCCCACACGTTTTCAGGCTCGCGAGCTCTAACAAAGAATGATGAGCTTCCTGCTTCCAGGTCGCCACTCATCAATGTCTTGGTTCCAGGTCGTCACCGCAGTCTCCTTGCTCTAGGTCATAATGTCTCGGCTCCGGCCACCATGACGTCGGTCATCACTATTTACCTCGGCTCCGGCCATAGTGACCCCAAGTTGCCTATTTCACTTCAGCTACGGCTATAATACATGACTCTGTGTCATGCATTTTTACCTCAGCTATGGCCCAAAACGCATGCACCGAGCTCGCCTGGTTTTAACACCAGCTCCCCCACGCCCGCTCGATGGGAAGCCGGCATACACATGCACAACAGACTTGGCCGCGATGGCGTCAGGCCGCCTAGATCGGTCGTGCGTGAGGGCGGACATGAACATAAAATATCACCCCTCACCCTCAGGGTTAAACACCGTGCTAACAAGACTCCCAACCCAGTTCGTCAACCGAACACCGAGGGGGGAGTAATGTTGGGATTAGGCCCAACGCCCTCTTAGGGCCACATACAGCAAGCCCAACTATGCACCCACAGGCCCAAGGGAGGAGACATACCCACGTGGGCAGCACCACGTGGGCCAATGAGAGGTTTACATGTGCAGATACATGTCAACACCAAGGGGCTATAAATACCCCCCAACTACCTCCGATAAAGGTAATTAATCTCTACGCTTCTCTCTCTGCAATTACTCTTTGAGAGCCTCTCTTTCTAAAGTATTAAGTATTACTGACTTGAGCGTTGGAGTGTTTTCCTCGAGGAAACATCCTCGAGATTTTCAGGTGTAGAAGCAGCTGAGAACTTCAACAGTGTTGGACTGCGAAGCTGCCGAAACAGATCCCATTTGCATTCATTTGGGAGTCCGTTTCCCTGTGGCATCTTTTGTTTTTTCGTTTAAAAAAACAAAATCTTTACTTTCCTTTATAGTAATCACAACAATTAAAGTTAAACTCTTTTTTCAGAGGACAAAGCATCGGTCCCATGCGGAATAATTAATTTTAAAATTAAGATCAGGATGACTCTATTATCATCTGATGCAGACTCATCCTGATCCACTCCAGGACAAGAGTCAAAAATTCACCTGTCGGGATGCACATCTTTTAAAGAGCCACCTTATGTTGTTTCATTGATGACAGCTAACGTGTTAGGTGTTAGTACGTCTAGGTCTAGGACCATTATGTCAATTCACTGAGCCTTAACTGCTATTTTACCCAAAATATATATAGGGATGGAAATTTTTAAAAATTTTCAAAAACGTCAAAATATAACGGGTAATCTATTCATTTAGTCCTTTCAGAATTTTTTAATTAATTAACTCTTAGAATTTGATAAAACCTTGCATTAAATTCTAAATTTACTTAAAATTTTTAATTAAATTTTGAAATTTTTATTAAAGTCAATAAATTTTTAAATTTAATAATTTAAATAATTTAAT